CCAAGATTTTTGATCATCTTTACTGTCATTACTCTGAATTCTTTTTCAGGTAGTTTGCCTATTTCCTCTTCATTTATTTGGCCTTGTGGGTTTTTATCTTGCTCCTTTGCCTATAAGATATTTCTCTGTCTTCTCATTTTGTCTAATTTACAGTATTTGAGGTCTTCTTTCCCTCGGCTGCAGGGTCATAGTTCCTCTTGCTTCTGTTCTCTGCCCCCGGTGGTGGGGTTGGTCCAGTGCCTTGTGTAGGCTTCCTGATGGGAGGGACTGGTGCCTGCGTTCTGGTGGGTGGAACTGAGTATTTTCCCTCTGATGAGCAGGGCCATGTCATGTGGTATGTTTTGGGGTGTCTGTGAGCTTACTATCACTTTAAGTAGTCTGTGTGCTGATGAATGGGTTTTTGTTCTTGTCTTGTTTGTTGTTTAGTGTGAGGCGTCCAGCGTTGTTAGCTGCTGGCAGTTGGGTGGAGCTGGGTCTTGGATTCAGATAGAGGCCTCCAAGAGAGCCCTTGGTGATTAATCTTTCCTGGGGCCAGGAATTCTCTAGTCGTCCAGCATCCCGGGCTCAGTGCTCCCACTCCAGAGCCTCAGGCTCGACTTCTGGTTGAGGGACCATGACCCCGCGAGTCGCTCGTCCCAGACAAATGGTAAAAAGTAAAATCATACAAACAGAAACAAGGAAACACGCACACACACAAAGAAACAAAAACAGAACAAAATAAATCAAATAGCAAAACAACCAGACAAACAAAAGAACCCAAGAAGAAAATCAAACAATTAAGAAGAAAGCTGACAAAAACCCCGAACCAAAAAACAAAACCAAAGCAGAGTGCCAGCTGGAGAATGAAGCAAAGAAACAAAGCAAACCAACAAAAGTGATGTTAAAAAAAAGAGAAAAAGAGAAAGGGGAAAGAAGACAGAAGAGCAGAAAAGCAACATAGAAACAAATATTTAAAAAAATAGAAAATATATTAAAGAAAAAAAAGACAAACAAAATCCCAGAGAAATGGTGAAAACAAAATCAAACAGAAACAGAAACAAGGAAACACACACACACATAAAAGAAACAAAAACAGAGCCAAATAAAACAAAAAGCCAGAGAACAAGACAAATAGAATTCAAAAATGAAATCAAACAATTAGGATTAAAAGTAACAAAAACACATAACCTAAAAACAAAAGCAAAGCAGTGTGCCAACTGAAGAAGAAAGCAAGGAGACAACAAAGTGATAAAAATGATTAGAAAGATAATAAAATAAAATAAAAAGGGAAAAAACACAGGACAACAGAAAAGCAAAGTATAAATAGAAATGTATAAAAAAATTTTAAAAAAGTTATACAACAGAGATCCCAAAAGACTAAATAAACAAAACAAGAAAACCCCCCAAAACAACAAGAAACAAAAAAAGAAAGAAAAAGAAACCAAAAAAAAAGCTAGAACCAACAACAGAATGAATCAAAACATAATAAAGTCAATAGTAATAATTATGTTTCCATGGGGTGTCTGCTGTAAGTGTCCTTGCACACGCCGTGAGCCACAGCCCCCCTCTGCCTCCCCAGGAGGCTCTCCTCTGCCTCTGGGCTGGTCTCTGGACCTGCTGTGAGCACTGTGGGGACCACTCAGGCTCTGATCTGGCCCAGTTCCTGCATGTGCTGCCTCCAAAGTCCACAGCTGCCAGAGCTAGACTGTTGTTTTTTTTTTTTAAATAAATTTATTTATTTATTTTTGGCTGTGTTGGGTCTTCGTTTCTGTGCGAGGGCTTTCTCTAGTTGCGGCGAGCGGGGACCACTCTTCATCGCGGTGCGCGGGCCTCTCACTGTCGCGGCCTTCTCTTGTTGCGGAGCACAGGCTCCAGACGTGCAGGCTCAGTAGCTGTGGCGCACGGGCTTAGTTGCTCCACGGTATGTGGGATCTTCCCAGACCAGGGCTCAAACCCATGTCCCCTGCATTGGCAGGCAGATTCTCAACTACTGTGCCACCAGGGAAGCCCTAGACTGTTTTCATTTGTGGGAACACTCAGTGTCTACTCAGATATTCTATAGACGCAGGGTCTATCTAACTGATTGTGGGGATTTAATCTGCAGCTTGTACAGCTGGTAGAAAGATTTTCCATCTTCTTCCTTAGTCACCCCATCCCTGGGGTTCAGCTTTGGTTTTATCCCCACCTCTACATGTGGTCCACCCACAGGAGTCTTGTCCTGAGTCTGCCTTGGAGCTCTTGGGTCTGCCCCTGTGAGGACCAGGCACAGAGGTGGTATGACTGCTTGGATCATGGGAGCCCCAGGGGCGCCAAATGTGCAGGGAAGCCGGCGGCCACGGGTGCAAGAGATATGGCCCTAGCGAGGGCCTTTTCTGCCTCCCGGCGTAAGGCACATGAGGGCCAGCCCTGAGGGGGCTTTTTTTATTGTCACTGGCAGGTGCTGGCATGTAGGTAGAGAGAGGCTACAGTAATGGCTTCTCCCCCTGTGTGTGACTGATCAATAGCACCCTGCTTCCATGGCAGTCCAGTCTTCCTCCCTAGGCATTCCCTGCTGCAGATTTCCTCCCTCCCATCCCCTCAGTCCGTCTCCCCACAGCCAACAGCAGTTCTCGCTCTGAGCCTGTTCTCCAGTCCTCATGCACCAGCTCCCAGCCCCTTTGCACACCTGTGAATACATGTCCCAGTCCCGGGCACGTATGTCCACAGTATGGACCGTCTGTGTGTTTCTCACTCGGCCCTGTCTGCCACAGACTGGCCACTTCACCGTCTTCCGACAGCCTCTAATGCTTCCCGTCTGTCCCAGTCTATTTCCCCGTCAGAGAGGGGTTTTCCCCCAATTCAGGTCTCTCTCCTCTGTTTCAGCTTCCTCTCCTTGGGGTGCAGGTCCTGTCCTGCTTCCTCTCCTCCTCCTTCTCCCTTCTTTTTTTCCATCCTACCCAGTTATGCAGGGATCTTTATAGTCCTTTCCAGTGTCCAAGGTCTTCTGCTAGTTTTCAGCTGGTGTTCTGTGAGAATTGTTGCATCTACAGATGTATTCCTGATGCATCCGTGGAGAGAGATGAACTCCATGTCCACCTACTCTCCACCATCTTGAATCTCCTTGACTCACTTTTAGAATTTAAAAATAATCACCAGATTCATGGGAATGTATATATTTTTCTAGTATTTGTGAAAGTGAATCATAATCATATAATATTTTTTAAAGTTCATTCATATACTCTCTAAAATCGGTCCAAATATTAACAATGGAATAGTCACCACACTGTGGGTAACACTGTACTAGATGTTGGAGGCTTCTTCTAGCTTAAATAGTCCAGGAAAAGATGAATAAATTCATGTGTATTTGTGTTTGTGCCTTCATTCACTTGACAAATACATGACTCTAATATTTCTACCCACTGCATTCATTTCTACCCATAATAGCATCTTTCCATTGGTTAGCTTCTTGTTCCAGTGGAAAAATGTTTAAACAGAAAAGAGAGATTGTGAATGAATCATATAAATGCTTAGAATTTTCATGAGTCGGTGGGGTCCTCTCAAGAGATCCCTTAAAGTCTAACAAGGGATGAGGCTTAGGGTAGTGAAAAATTGGTACAAAATGCTTACAGGAAGGCATAGGATGGCCTTCGGATGTGAGGAGTCTTCTGGGAGACATATGTTCTTTCCTTTGAATCCTGTGTTTTCCCCCCACTTCCCTCTACCGAAATCCTATCTTATAGGCCCAGTTCAAATTCTACCTCCTAAGTCCTTTCCAGCTATTCTGACTGGAAGTTTCCTTTTTCTCATCTGAAGAGTGCTTTACAATCATAGGTATTTATTAAGCACGAACTATGTTCCGGCACAGAGGTCACCGGGTTGAACACCCATATCCCTGACCTCAAGGAGTGGATGGGCTACAACTCAATGACTCTCTATGCTGCCTTGCCCAGGCTGGTTGATTCACACATATTTGTCTTGCCTCCCTTAAGGCTGAGTTACTTATTCTTTACTTTCCTATTCCTCAGAGCACCTAAGGACTCTCCTTAGCTAAGTATTTGTTGCCAGAGACCCCAGGGTTACCAAGTTGTATAGGAAATATAAAAATAATAACTAAGGACCTTTAAAATTAGTCTTCACTTAAACATCCCTCTCAAGTTATCATGAGCACCAATCCCCAGCAATTTCGTAAACATCGGTGATGGTCATATAGGATAAACATGTAATGTGAATATAATATAAATTGATCCCAAAGGAAAACTAGAAATCTTAGGAATGATACAGGCCTTCCTGAAGGCAGTGAAAGTGAGTTTAGAGAGAGCAATAGTAATTCACTCAAAGCTGTGGACGTTGATGACCCAGCAGAGTCCTATCAGTTATCAATAGAAGGAGAGAAAGCAACAAGGATGATGGTATGATGGGTACTTCCCAAGAGAATGATCGGAATATCAAAGGATGAAGAAAGATCTTGGGGAAAAAATGAAAAACTTGAATATTTTGCAAAGTCAACAAAAAGTGAGGGCTGTTAAATGGTGCCATGATACAATTTTGTCAAAAAACTGTGCCTAAAACCCCATACTTAATTCATAGTTTGCTCATTTAAAAAACATGGCATGATTGATTGCCATTTTAATTTTGTTGAACGTAAGGTAAATAAAATTTTTCATAATTTTTAGTTTCTAAGAATTCCAATCAGCCTTTCCCACCCTCATTTTTATATGTTATTTTTGTCCTTTTTAAAAATGTGGATTCATTTTAAGTGGAATTTCTATGATACTAATTATCCACCAGAAGAACATCCAGTAATAGGATTCAGTGAAGTGATGGATTGATCAGTATCTTTCTTCAAAACTCACAACCAAGATCATAACAGGCAGAAAGGGCACAACTGGCTTTTTTGACTCTAAAGCAGGAAGTAGGGATCCACAGAACCAGCCAGATTTCTCTGGAATAGTGATGCCCAGCCCAGCTAGGAGGTAATTTTGAGATAAGCCTGATCAAGGTCTTAGAAGGGAACTCTCAAGGCTTCAAAGGAAGTTGCTTACCCACAAAGCACCAGACTGCAAACCGGATCCACGTGATGGTGGAGAGCTTTAGCATGAGATAGATGTTCACCAGCATGGCAAAGGCAGGCACAAAGGGGAGACAGGGAGCCATATAGGGCAGCTTCTTGGGGTTCTCTGGCTGCTGCAGGATCACAAACACCAGGATGCTGATCAGCAGCACCATCAGAATGACCAGAAGGATGGCCCACCAGCTCTGCTTTGAGATGTAGTCGGAACCAAAGATGATGAAGGAGCAGAAGATGAACATGAGGATGAAGAGCAGAAGCACGCAGATGGTCACCGTGTGCCCTGTAGCTGCTGTGGGCCGGTCCATTTTGCCTGGAAGGCCCAGCCGGATCCTCATGGTGTAGTAACGGGGCCCAATCAGCTTCTTTAACTTGATGAGATAAATGTTTTCAGTTTCATCAGCTTCTATGCCTGTGGTCATGTCCACGGTGCCGTAGTTTGGGTGGTTGACGTTGTAGGTCGACTTGTCTGATTTCCCTATGAGCATCTCGTTGTCTCCCAAGGATGGTAAGTTCTTAGCCCCACATGTGTTGGTGGCTGGGCCGGAAAACTCTTCCCCTTCACTCACAGGAGAGCCAACTTCCTTCTCACAGTCAGCCAGAATGCCCTCCTTCTTCTTTGTGTGCTCCTGAGACAAAAACTTGACAAACCCGTCGATGTCACTTTCTGGTTGGTATCGAAGGAGCAAGACGCAGACAGAGACCAAGGTGTAGGCGAGGAGGGTGCCGATGGACATCATCTCAATCAGATCTCTCAGGCTGACTAATAGGGAGAGGAGAGCCGCCAGGAACCCCGACACAATGCAGGCCACCACTGGGGTCTCTGTGTAGGAACTCACGTGAGCCAGGAACCTGAAGGGAGGGGCAAGCAGAGGGTTCACGGTGAGCTACACGTGGGGATTGATTCAGCATGGTTTAACACCTCCTGGTCCTGTTTCTCCAGCTTACTTCTGGATTCACTGCTTTAAATACAGCTGCTATTCCCTACCCCAGGATTTGGTTCCCGGAGTAGAATTTAAACAGAATTTACTTTAATTCCTTGAGTTTGAGCCGAACTTCTCTATTAAAGTGCCTACTTCATTATGTGATGTGATGGGTTGATTGAATCTAGGGGATTCTCAGAAATCCAAATTGAAGCATAGGCTTTGCTATGAAGAAGGGATACTTGGCAAAGTCATACATCTGCTTGGGGGTCCTCTACACCTGTGTTACCCAAAGTGTGGTCCATGGATCAACAGCATCAGCATCACCTTGGAACTCGTTAGAAATATGTATTCTGAGGTTTTACCTGAGACCTACCATGTCAGACTCTCTGGGAGTGGGGCCCAACAAAGTCTACACTTTAAAAAACCTCCAGAGGATTCGGATTTATGCCAGAGCTTGAGAAGCACTTGCTCTACAACAGAAGTACAGGGATTTGGTTGGTAAAGTAGTACAGTCGTTGAGAACATGTGCTCCTGAATGAAACCTAAATCCAGCCACTTACTAACTGGAGAAGATAGAGAAGACCAACAAGGGTGACTGAGTGGCACCCTTCTTTAGCAGTTCCTGGAGGCTTAGGTAGGTTCCCGCCTTCCTCCTCTCTCATTCTGGCACTCCCTGCTCCCTCCTCTTCCATTCCTCCCTTATTTCCATGTTTCAGTCCATGAAACAGGAATATAAACTGTGCTCGGAGTGCCAGCATCTTTCCTCTCGGTTTTCTTTGACAGCTGAAAAACGTTTTGGGTGTGTGAAGTTGTCACACCTCCACTATGGTCAGCCTTTTCTTTTTTTTTTAACATCTTTTTTTACATCTTTATTGGAGCATAATTGCTTTACAATGGTGTGTTAGTTTCTGCTTTAAAACAAAGTGAATCAGTTATACATATACATATATCCCCATATCAACTCCCTCTTGCGTCTCCCTCCCTCCCACCCTACCTATCCCACCGCTCTAGGTGGTCACAAAGCATGGAGCTGATCTCCCTGTGCTATGCGGCTGCGGGGAGGGGAAGGGTAAGCTGGGACGAAGTGAGAGAGCGGCATGGACATATGTACACTACCAAATATAAAATAGATAGCTAGTCAGCCTTTTCTTGATCTTTCCAGCTCCCCCAAGGTCACAGCTCGGTGGTGACCTCAGGGGGTATGCGGAGGAAAGGGTGCAGAATGTGACAGCCGATGGCAGGGATAAAGTCCCTGAGCTGGATCCCTCTGCACTCCTGAGAGCTCCTTGGAGGTTTACTCCTTGTTTTGTGCGCTTGAAGAATGCCTTCCCTGCAAGCTCTTCACACAGTAGACACTAGGAACCAAGAGATGGGGCCACATCCCCTTTGTACCATGGGCAGATAGGCTACTTCATAGCCAGCTTAGGGGGCTGGAAGTGTCAGTGTACTGGTGTGGTTAAAAGTCTGGTTGTCGGGATCAGACAGTCCTGGGTTCAAATCCTGACCCCGCCACCCAGCAGCTGGGGGATTTGGGGCAAGTTTTTTTTTTTAACCTCTCTGAGTATATTCATCTAGTATACTCTTCTGTAAAATAGAGTTATTGTGCTGACTAAATGGGATACTATATACCTGGGATACACAAATGTTCAATAAATGGTAGCGATTGTTGCTACTATTATTAGGCTCTGTTCAGAGGGTCTTATCCTCTCTTTGATTGTAACTGTGAACTTTTTCAGCTTCAGAGAGGGCAGTCATCAGGCCTCAATGTGAGGGCAAGCCTCAGATGCCCCTGGGATGGGTTCTTCCTTCTGGAGGCCACCCAGTGTAGCATTTTGGCACTCATCATCTTTATACAATGTCAAATAAGAGGGGAGTGGGCCATTGGGGGGACATATTAGTTTGTTGCTAGATTGAACATGTGGACCCAGAGTCAAACGGAGGGGCTGTTTTAGGACCTAAACTAATTTCACTCAAACCCTTTGCCAAGATACATGAAAAGTTCCATTGTCTATGTGACAGGCACTCACATCAGAATTACAGTCAGGCTGACAGTGGGTGACAGTCTCCCTGGGCAGGCATGGAAGAATAGAATAAATGCCACCGAGCATAGCCCTTACCTGAAAAGGAGCCCGTCGCCAGCCATGGCATAAATGATCCTCGGCATTGGGAAGAGGGAGCCCAGCAAGCTGACTGTCAGTCCTGCAACCGACCCGATGGCCACTATGAATTTTGCAGCATAGAACCCACGAGCCACAAACATCTCCATGAGCGGGGATTCCGTGTCAATCGCATAATATGGCACCATCAGAGTTAAGATCATGCTCACCTGTTAAAACAAGAGGAAACATGGCTGGAGGTAGAGGGGTCTGTTTGAAGCATGGATGGAGGTCCCATAGGAGAGGAAAGAGGCCTGGTCCTGCATGGGAGCTGGAATCTGCCACATCGTGGCACGTGCCTTTACTGTAGACCAGTTATTTGGCCTTTGGAACGCTCGGTCTCAGTATTTTCTCCCCACATGTGAATTTAGTGGACTAGACCAAATCATTTGTAATATCTCTCTGTGACCCTTTTGTATCTGAGGGATAAGTCTGCAGGTATTTCAGCTCCATGAGAGCAGAGCTACACTGATAGTTCAATGAAGGGCAGATATTATCCGATGGAAGGAGCTGCAGCCTAAGGCACTAGAGCCAGGGCCTGGCAGTGACCATGAGCACCCTGCCCACATGGACAAGAGTCTCATTTCTTTTATACTTTCAGGGTCCTACAGGATCTTAACTGTACTAGATCTTACCCTAAAGACCAGAGATCAAAACTCTAAAGGTAAATACGTAGGAGATCCACAACCGATTAACTGACAGGACTCATGTTTCCATTTCCTCTCTGTAGCTCAGTCCCAGGAACCCGGCAGGCCAAGAAGTAAATTATGGCATCAGGATGGAATCCAGTACTACTGTGGGCTATAAGACCACTATGGCTTTGCTTAACCAGGACCTGTTTCTCCTCACATGTCATAGATCTGCTGTAACATCCCTCCCGGCATAATTGGCCCCAGGTGATGGAGCCACCAGTCATAAGACCAGGTGCCCCCTGGCCTGTGAAGGCCAATCCCGGCATCAGTGAGGGAGTCCAGAGCCTGAAAAGGAGAGAGTGGTTCATTTCTAGATCACCTCTTTGCCTGTTTCTCAGGAGCCAGGATCCTCCAGTGAAGCCATGCGCCACTAGGGAGGACAGCAGGATGAATGACCACAGCCCAGCAATTGGACTTTTTCCTGGTGGTAGAATGGATGCCTGCTGACCAACACAAGACCAAACAACCCCTGAGGCATGGTTAGGGCCCACACATTCTAAAAGGGAATCTTTCCCAGCAACATTGGGGTAGACCTGAGGAGAGAGGGATAGATTCTTACAGCAACTCTCAGAGTGTGTCCTGCCCACATTAGATTAGGATAGGCAAAAGTTGGTAGATGCGTAGACATATTCTGTAGTCTATAAAGCACTCTTCTAAGGAAGGAGCTGTGATTATTAACTTTACTGCGTGTGCTACAACGGTTGACTACTGGAAGAGGGGAGGTATGAGGGAGGGGGAATGCAGAGCAGAGTGTCTCTGCTGCTACCCCTGCCTGCTTCCCCCACCCCCAGCTACTCCTGAACATTCTGTCTGCAGGGCTAATCAGGGTTGGATAAGATGAAGCCAGTTGCATGTGTGTGCATGGGGCGGGGCGGGGGGGTTGATAACTGACCTATCCATAAAGGTTTGGGTGGGCAAACCACATCCAGTGCTGCTCTCATGTTTTCCTTTGGCTTCCAGGACAGTCCTGTTTTGCAGCTTGCCTTAATGATCCTTTGGCCTGGTTTCTTCAGGTTGTTGCTAAAGGTGTCTTTCCGGTTTTTTTGGTAGGGGTTGTGAAGAGGTTCTTGTCGCATGCCGTGGCAGCAGGAGCAGCAGGGCTGACGCGTGCACCCTGGCTGCTGGCTCTTTCTATGATAATTGTGGTGGCTGAAGTGAGTTGGACCTCCAGGACTTGGGGGGATTTGTGTAACCACACATCTGTCGGCTTACCAGCTGGTCCTCTCCACTGCCAGGGGCTGAGGGGGATGTTGCATGTGGCTGAACTATTTCTGTGATAGAAATTCTGGGATGGGAGCTGAGAGATGACGCATCAGAAGTGTGAGGAGTGTCTGAGGGACGTGATCCTCAGGAGACAGCCTGAAGGCTTCATTCTAAGGACTTCCCTTGGCAGGGAAACCTGAAGAGGCGAACTTGAGCCAGTGTAAAAAGAGGGAGCAACTGGCAGAAAGAAATTACCTCTCCTCCCACTCTGCACCCCCCAACCCCCCAGATTTAAGGGAGAAGCATTTCTAGAGGATGATGAATTCTCTTTCCCCACCCTGGGAGAGCCTTGTCTCTTTGCTGCCGGGAAGCTCCCAGAAGACAGAAGGGCATTGAGGAGGGAGCGCAGAGGCCCACAGTGCCTCTGCTTGCACACCCACCTGTTACTGCCAGCCTGTGATCTGAGCTCCTTGGACGGCAGCCCACTCCCTGCACACTATCCCCTGGGCAGCAGCGGACACCAAGAGCCTGTGCATAGGACGGAGCAGGGATGGGGGCCATGGCTGAAGTGAGGACCTGGGGCTTCTCCCGGCTCCAGTTTGGAGCCCTGATTTTCTCCTTGTCATTGGTGGGTGGGGTGAGCTTGAGCCAGTGTAAAAAGAGGGAGCAACATGAAACATATGTGTACAAACACCTAGAAGGCACAAGTAAAGGATTACTTCCTGACAGAAGGACACCCAGTCCCAGAGCCACATTTTAAGGTCAAATATGAAAAGGCCATGAGGAGGGTCACATAAGCATTTGGTACTTACGGATACATATGCTGTCAGGCAGATGACCAGGGAGGCAGTGATAGCATAAGGGATGGATGTGTTGGGATTCTTGGCTTCCTCTCCAGTGGTGGCGATGATGTCAAAGCCAATGAACGCATAGAAACATGTGGCTGCTCCTTGCAGCACCTGTAGGGATGAAGACATTTATCAGACTCAAAGTGTCAGGGCAGCACCAGGGCCTGACGTGGTCCCCAGAGTTGCCTGGTGCCCGGCAAACAGTACTGAGTGGTAGAAGGAGTAACGTGGTAGAACTTGTGCTCAACGCTTGAGTTCTGATCTCTACTTTCTAGCTGTGTGACACTGGGAAATTCCCCCATGTGTAACATGAAGATAAGAAGGATTATATCCAAATAAAAACGAGGTCATTCAACACATTCAAATAATTTTTGGAAGTAAGTGGGGTTACAAATAAATCAGTAAGTTGGCTATCCCTATGTCTTGGGGAACTCATTAACTTCTTTGTGCTCTGTTTTCATTCAGTGGCTCTCAATCACAACCAGGGTCCGTATGACTGCCCTTAGGAGATGTTTGGAAATGTAGGGAGGTACCTGTGACCGACAGAGACATGGGGCGGGCGCTTCTGGCATTTAGTGTAGGGGCGCAGATGCTTTTGCACATATTGTCCTGCGCAGATTACCATTAGTGACCCTGGCAGATCATTTCCAGGGCATCTTCCAGATGTGAAACGATATAAAAGATTTTCAGATCTTCAAATCGTGTAGTGTCTTTCATGGGAAGACAGGTAGAGACAATTTGATTTTGCTGTTCCTTTTGGGGGCTTGAGTGGCCTTGTTGGGCTACAGGGCAGGGGCAGGAGGAGGAGGGAGGCAGTGTGAAGCTGAGGAGGTGGTACCCAGTGACATCTGCTGGATGCCTGTCTGACAGGGGCCTGTATGATCCCAAGGATGGCTGTGACTTGATGAGTCAAGCAGTGAAAATCTTCCATTGAGGAGTGTGTGACTTTCTTCCAAAGAACCTCTCGAAGTTTAAATTATGTTTTCCCACCTTAGCATTCTCATTATCAGCTGAAAGTAAGAAATGTGCCTCTTTGAATGCTTGGGGGTGTCCCATTTGGGGAAGATGAAAGAGATTTTTCTGGGCTTTTGTGTATGGGGTGAGGGCATTTGGCAACCTGCAAGCTCTAGCCAGGGGGCCAGGAGTGAGGCTCATTGTGGACTGACCATTTTTTCCTTTTCTCCATATTCGGTTTATAAATGATGAAATTCTAAACACGTGCCAGGCAGACACCTGTCCCTAAATTTTCACTCTTACCTTTCCTACTGACTTCTCAATAGGTAAAAGACGAAAACCTGGAACCCACAAGGAACATCACAAAATAGAAGATTGTGTCAAACTTTCAAAAGCAACCTTTGCTCATCTGTAAAATGAGTTGGTCTCTTCTACAGTCTCTCCTGTCAGGACTTTAATGCTTCAGTTCTCTAACTGGAAGTTCTTATTCTGGGGTCCATGCAATTCGCATGGGGGAGGGTCTGAGAATTTTTCAGAGAAAAAAATACATCTTTCTTTTCACTACCCTTCAACTGAATGTTATCATTTCTTTCAATTATGAGTGTAGGTGACTAACAGTACCTGTGACTTTGTCACCAATAGCAATCAGCTGTTTTCCCATCGTATTAGTTGTTGCAGAGATCTTGAAATACCACTTGTGCTCATTGTGACTTCCAATTTATGTCAGTTATTAGACATAGATATTAATATTTAAAGCACTGATAACAAAGCACATTGTTATATCACAATTTAAAAATATTTTTATAACTATATTTCAATATACAATTGACCCTTGAACAACATGGGGGTTAGGGGTGCCAACCACAGCACAGCTGAAAATTTGAGTATAACTTATACTGGCCCTCTGTATCTGTGGTTCCCCCATGTACTCGGTTCCTTCATATCTGTGGTTCTGTATCTGCAGATGCAACCAACCACTGACCAGTGTAGTACTGTAGTATTTACTTTTGAAAAAAAATCCACCTAAGTGGAACCGCTTGGTTCAAACTCGTGTTGTTCATAGGTTAACTGTAATTGATTTCTTTCGAACTCCTATGTAATTAGGTTATTCATTTATAAACACAATTTATACATAGTATAAACATAATTCAAAAGGGGTCCATCGGCTTCACCAGACTGCCAAGGAGTCTACTGCACACAAAAAAATCTAAGAACTCCTGATCTATTCTAATAGAAAGAACTTCTCAAACAAGCAGTTGTCACCAGAGGGGTACTTTCTGGGAGAGGAGATAACTCCCAATTTCACACCAGCGAAGTCCTCCATTTGAGGACGTGGAAAGTGTCTTTGGCATCCAGACAAGAAGGTCAAACAGATCTCACCTCATCGTATGTGGAGGTTCACAGGTTTGGAAACGTGCTTGTTTTCATTTGTCTAACAAATGTCTCTGGTGTTCAGGGATGAATGATTACTGGGACTGTAGGCTCGCTAAGCTGCTCCAATCAAGGAAAGCCTTGCTTTAAGACAGCTTCCAGAAAACAGTCCTGTCTTCTCTTCCTTTAACATCTTTCTTCCCGTACACACACACACACGCACACGCACACGCACACGCGCACACACACACCCCTCTTGTAAATCATACAGTGACCTTCTCTGACAATCAGTCTAAAGATGCATTGCTCCCGATTAGGATGTCCCACGGCTACGGTGCTATGCCCACTTGGTGTGATCAGTGCTGGATGGAAAGGTCATAGATACTGCAAGAGCTCCCTGCTGAGGATAGGTGGGTAGGAAGGTCCTAAATAAGAACTATAGGGCCAGTCTACCCTGGAAAAAGGTGAGAGGTCTGTAAACCATGCCATATGAAGATTAACTGAGGACCAGGGGATGTCTAACTGAAAAAGAAGACTCAGTGGAAGATACCTCCAGACAGAATTGGAGGGACACCTTCCAATTTTGAAGGCTTCAGAGGGAATCACAGAGCCATGCAAATGGGTGGCATAGGACTTGGTTAGGAGTGCAGATTCTGTAGACTGTCAGACCTAGGTTGGTTCTGCCAGGTACTAGCTTGGTGACCTAGAACAAGTTCCTAGCCCCTTGGGGTCTCATTTTCTTTATCACTTAAATGGAAATAAAGCTCATTGGATTGTTCCAGGGATTAAATGAGATAATACAGTCAACCACAGTCATAGAACACAATAGGTACTTAATAAATATTCCTCTTATCAGTAGTATTTTTATTACTTTTATAAGTTTTTCTAGAACAGATGAAACCAAGGGCACAAATTCCTCCTCCTCTTCCTCGTCCTCCTTATTTTTTCTTTTAGAACTTGACACATTTTATTAACTGTTCCCAAGAACCAGGAACTGTGCTTGGTGATGTGGATGCAGTTATGTGCAAAAAGCACTCTGAGCTTGACTTCCTGGGGCTTGGAGTCTAGAGGACGCTGCACGACCCGAAATGCTACCTTGACTGTGGTAACAAACTGAACAAGATTAATAAATATCTATATTGTTTGTAAAACACGGATGCTACTATTTCCCAGATGAATGAAAGAATGGATGGCAATTACTGATAATGATTAGATACCAGAAAATTAACTATGATCAAGTTGGGAAGAGAGAGAATAAGTTTGCAAAGAGAATATCTGTTAGCCTGAACTTGCATGTGTAGAACTAGAAAGAAATTATGGTTGAAGAAAGACTAAACAGATCAAAGGTAGGACATCTGGAGGTTCTACTGCGATAGGCAGGACACGGAATTTAACTCAGATGGTTCAAATGAATGATTTCAGTGCAGGCACTCTAGGGGTCAGGGCTGGGAAGAAGTGAGGAAGAAATACCCTGGCCTTGTTCTCTTCTCACCTTCTGATCTGATGATACCTCCCATTGGCTAAACCCAACAGGAAGCAACCAGCAGGGGGTCTTCTGGAGCACAGAACAGAGCATGAGGGGTAGAGAATGGATCTGGGGACTGTGGGCAAATAGGGAAAAATCAGCGCACCTGCCAAGATCAAACAGACTCTGGCCTAACAAGATATAGATTAAATAAACAGATTATGTAAGAAAAGATAACACAATTAGCAAATAGGGTCACCTTTTTACCTGAGTTAGTTTGAATAAGTTCTTCTTCCTTGTAAGCAAATAATTTCTGGTAAATACAAAAGAACCATGAAATGAAACTGTGTATGGGTGTGTCTCTACCCAAATACCCACTAAAAATGCTTTCCACTTCACTCTACCCAGATCTCAGATCCGGCCTCTGGTATTTACGATTAGGATACACTTCCATGCATGAAAGAATGTGTGTGGTACCTAGGGGTGAGCATCTGTGAATTAAATTGGTGGGTGAAGTGTGTGTGTGTGTGTGTGTGTGTGTGTTTCTGGGTTCATCTGTACTTTATCCTAACTTTCCTTTAATGTTTTATATAAATAAAAAAAAACCAATATTGATTTTTATTTGATGACATTAATGGAAATTGTCTTCCAAAGTCCACCTGGTGTAGCTGCTCAGCCAGGCGATCCAGATGGCTCCTTCCCTCTACAGAGGTTTGTGGGGAAACAGCACGCCCCTCAGTTGCTGGCGGGCCGTTGCTTAATTAGTTGACAAAAGAATGTCATTGCTGGCCTGCTACTCAGCGTCTGGGATCCCTAAACGCTGGCCCTCGTGCCTTGCTGATATTTGAGAGGCATTAGGATGCGGCAGCTCTCTGTATTCTGCCTTGGCGTGTCTGCCAGATGTGCCTAGGAGATAATTAGGCACATTTTTATAATTCACTCTCAAGGTCACAAGACAAAACTCCAACTTTAACAGCATTTCCTTCCACCCTCATGCTCCAGATCTATTAGCAGCCTGTCCACAGCGACAGTGGAATGTGCTAATACGTTCCAACAAGTGGATTCAGATGTGGAGACATGGGAAACAGGTTTTCCTTTGTTTGGAGGCTGTCAGCATTCCCCACAAATACTTGCTCTGAACCATTTTCCTGGGAGCTATTTGTGCTGGTAGAGTGTCTTATTTGGTTAAAGAGAAACCATAAGATAGCATCGAGAACAAATAACATATAGCGAATACGCATCCAACAATGTTCAAGAGCTGAGGAATTGCAGATGGAAGCAGGGGTTCAGCTGAGGGCCAGCAGTTACTTGATATAGGGAAAAAAAGTGTTTGTTGTTCTTAAGCTCTTCAAGACCAAAGAAGCATTTGACCCAGAACCTGTAAGTGAGTAAACCATTCCTTATGCTATTTTCTTTGGAAGGAAGTGGTTGGAGCAGGGAAAGAGTAGGCTTCTGAGGGGTCTATGGCCAGAGGATGGATTGCTCTTTAACTCTTTCAGAGTCCTTGAAAATTGTTTCAAGTCATGTAATGGTATCCTTATAAACCACTCTGTCCACAGTGGTTTCCTCCATCCCGTCCTACCTAAAAGGATTGAAGAAGAAAGTGGACTGGAACTCTGCACTAGTTCCTTTGTCGGGGTGGGTCAGAATTTCCTTAAGGAGTGAAGAAGTTCATGAAACTGCCAAGTAGGCAACTCGATTTTGTTGACAATTGTCAGATGACAGTAGGGAGTGTGTTTATTCACTTGGTGGATGACATTCTCATGAGAAGGTGTCAGATCTTAAAAAATAGCCTCCATATTCAGACTGGCCTTGCTGGACTGGAAAAGCAACCTGAAACCAAAGTCAAGAAAGAACAGGTCTAGGCAGTCGGCTGTGGAGGAAATGTACAATGCAGAAATCCAAGGCCAGGCAGACAGCAGAGAGGATGAGTCAGCATCATCTTCACACTGGGCTGTCCTTTGTGCTCAGATGATGTTTTTAGGCACAGCCACTAGGACATACATTTGAATTTCTTGCAGGGAATATGGATTTGCAGCGAAAAATCCAAAATCCCAGCCAAGCTTTTTTGGTGACCAATGACAAGCCTACTCCAGGTAGACGTTTGGGTTGGAGTGAGGTCAGTGGCCAAAGGTGCCAAAAAGGACAGTTGGTTTGATGCGTGCAAACCTGGGCGTAATGGAGTAAATAAGGGCTTTGGCTCATCTAGGACTGGGATTGAATTTCAGCTCTATAACAGTCTAGATCTGTGATCTTAACTTTTCTAAACTTCAGTTATTTTGATGTAAACGTGGAGATCATTGTACTTATCTTGCAAGGCTGTGGTGAAGATTAAACGAAAAGTGTGTATGAAAGAGTATGTCATAAGGAAAAAATGGTTAGGGATGGCATCCTTCCTTTCTTTTTTATGCCTTGATTTCCGATTTTCTTTTCTTGCTGTAGAAGCTAGTGAGACCTGGGATTGGGTAAATGGGAAGCCCCTAAGCCTAGCTTGCTTAGCTCCTTCCGTGATGAGGCAGCTCCTGACTGAGGAAGGATGTGGAGCCCCTGAGCAGGGAGAGGAGATGCCCCCAAAGAGAATAAAGACCCCAGAACAAAGCACAAAAGGAAGAGCTAAAAGACTGGTTCATCTTCTTCAGCATGGGCAAAGGGTATTTACACAGAAGATATTGACTATTTCCAGTCTTCACATGGGGCCTAGACTACAGTGTGTGCCGTTTAGATAAGTTCTTAGGGAGATTTTGAAAATTAAACATGATCTGAGTCATTAAGAAGAGTTTTCGAATTGCTTTGATATGATGTCTTAGTAAAAATGCACATTTGGCCTGGGCCTGCTTAACTATACCCCCATCTTAATGCTCCTTCTAGCTCCAAGACCCCAGGACTTTGTGAAGGCTTAAAGGAAATGAAAATGTGACATGTCAGATTAATTACATTCTTACTTTTTTTTAAAAGGCGGCTCAGAAGGGAGGGGTCATCATACATAGGCACTCAGTGTAGTGGAAGGGACTCTGGAGCCACACACCTGGGTGGGAATTTCAGTCCTGGCACCGACTAGCTAAATGACTTTAGGCAAGTTACCCAGCTTCTCTGAGCCTTGAATTCTCTATTTGTAAGTTGGGGATAGCAGCAGCTGCTTTAAAGTTTTGTTTTAAGAGTGAGATAATATTCATAGAGCAGAATGCTGGGCACCCAGCAGGTAGTGGGTAAATTCTAACTCCATCCTCCTGTCATGATCGCTGTTGCTAACCACACAATGTGCACATAAAAACATCTAAGCTTTTATTCTTTTTTTGCAAACATTTGGTTGTCTTTAGTTTTACCACTTGATAGATGAGAAAACCTGAAAGCACAGAAGTTAACTGTTGGCCGAAGTCTTGTAGTAGGTCCATGACCCAGTAATTTCTTACATTGTTAAGAAAATGGTGAGAACATTTTCATGTGCTATGATGAAAATGCAGTTGAGTTCTGGGAAAACATTCTTTCTTTTTCATTATTACAATTTGTTTTTTTCTTATTTGATAGGAAGGGAACGATTTGTATCATAAGAAAATATAGGCTTGGGAATCCAGAATGGGGTTAACAGTGTTTCTTTGTCTCTTCTTCTGGTTTTAACCAGTTTTAGGATTTATTCACTTCAAGAGGGAGGGATGAAGTCTGCAGAATTCTTACTGATAAGCAGAAGACTAGAAATCTTGGCTTAAATTGCTTCCTTGCTTGTTTCTCTGCATTGAACAGCGTGGCATGGTTTAGAATACACAGAAGTTATTTTGAGTGTTCTCCAAGAGCTATTTCTGGTCCCTGGACCTCTTGGAGGAAAACCAGTGTAAGCAAAATCTACAAAAGCAAAACTGGTGGCATCCTGGACTTGCTTCTGTCACTGATTCTGGGTGGGTGTGCCTCTCCCAGCCTCAGTTTATTTACCTGTTAAGTGAGGGGTTGGGACCAGGTGACCTCTGTGATCCCTTCTAACTCAAAATTCTCTGATTTATATTCTACTATTTGAAAAAAAGAAGAATGAGCTGGTGAATTTTACCAATAAATCCATAAAGTAAGCATTTTTAGTCGTGCTAGAGAAAGAATCCAGGTGCGACTTAGAACTAGTACTTCTCAGTATAAAGAATTTGCCACTCGGACCTTCCCATCTTTCTTTAGCATAAACCACACCATCAGGTCACAGGAATGAGATCTGAAAATGTGCTTTTGGTCCAGCGCACTCTCTTGTCAACCCACAGACCACACCAGGTGGGCTTCTCTGCTCTCAGACCCCAGCAGAACTCTCCACCTTGGGTCAAATGTTGGGATTAGATTTGAAAACTGTTCTTTTCTTTTTCCATACCCAGGCAACACTCATGCTTTCCTCACCTGCCCACTCTCCCGGCCTCCTTTACTGCCTTGTGTATTTACGGACTGTCTGAATAGACTGTAGAGAGATTCTGTAGGACTGAGCTGTTCATGTACAGGCTATGGAGTCAGACAGTCCTGGCTTTGGGTCCTGACTCGGGCACTTACACTGTGTGCGTAATAGCAAGTCATTTGACCTCTCTGAGTGTGAGTTTTTTTCATCTGTAAGACCAGAATGTAAATATCCTCCTTGCAAGGTTATTAGGAAGGTTAAATGAGATATTATATGCAGAGCATTTAGCGTAATATTAGGTATATTGCAAGTGACCAAAACTTCAAGTCTATTATTGTTTTCCACATAAAATAGGATCTCAAATGTTTGTGAAACAAATAAATAAAAAAGAACCTCTTCTTCAGAGCATTCCAATTAAATTCAGATAAAAGGTGATGAAAAGAGTGCCATGAAGGTTATGAGACAAGCAGCATTTTCTTGAAAGTATGTCTCAGACTGTCACAGGGTGGATGGCAGAGCGTGCAACAGGTACACTGGGATTTAGGAATGAACTCACCCCTGACCAGCCGTGGGGCAAGAACTGGCCCTCAGACCAGTATTTCCCATTGATGAAGAAGCAGCCTGCAATCATGATGAACACCCACACTGCCAGGTTCAGCACATTGAGTACGTTGTTGAAGCCCACAGAATTCTTCACCCCCAGTGCGACAATGATGGTGACGATGACTGCGATCACCAAAGCCAGAAGGTCCGGGTATGATTGTTTTCCTTTCCCTAGAGTGGAAAGACATGAGCTAATATTGTCCAGGGAGAAAAAATCCCAGGCCTACCCCGGTGCATCTGCACTCAGCTCAGAGAAAGGTGGTCAGTTTGTTACGGAGGGAGAAGGAACTCTGTGTGTGTGTGTGTGTGTGTGTGTGTGTGTGTTTGTGTGTGTGTGTTCACGTCCACTGTGGTCCACAGGTGTCTATTTGCAAATGGGAAGGTTTTGGTATATAGGTGAGGCGGCCTAATATCCTGGACCAAAAATTGGGACACATGATACGACAATTACAGCAGTGCCTATGGAACCATCGCATGAAACATCCAAAGTCAGGACTGTCCCAGGACATTCAGATGTATATATGGATCTGACATGTTATTTGAACTGTTTTATCTTCATTGTTGTTTAGTTTATAGTCCATAAATTTCTCTTTGTTAGCAAATTTAGAAATACGTGTCTTGAAAATTATTGGAAGAAGGGTGTTCTTTCCATTTGAGTGAATGTGGTTGCGGAGAAGATGGCCGGAGAACATGCCCCGCCTTTTCTGGTCTTGTCTGTTGGCCAGTGGACTCCTGCCCTCTATAGAGTGGAGACGGCACTGCCTCTACAGTCACGCTCCTGGATTTCAGCTGAACTCTTGCCTGTGACCACCTTTCTCCGGACCTCATCTGTAAAGTGAAAGGGCGGGCTACCTGATTTTGGAGGACACTTTCAGACCTAAGATTCTATGAAATCATTATACTGAGAAAATGTGGTCTTCATATTTTTTATCTTCTCATGGTATCTAGGTGCTCAGCATTTTGGTCAGTTCTTCTGAGATAGGGGCACCAAAGTCAAATGACTTGCATGCAGCCCCTGAATTAGTCCCTGGAAGTTCTGGGGCAAGACCCCAAAGCCTCCTCAACTACTGTTTAGCTTCCCTTGAATGTAAAGGGATAGTCAGACATCAGGATGGAAAGTGGGTTGTAAGTGAGGCTCAGAGCCTGAAGTGTCAAGGTGTTTGTTACATGAGCTTCTGATTATTTAATATTCACTCATTTCGGTTACTCATCCATTCTGTTTCTTTTAGAAATATATTTTCTTATTTAAAAATTAATGCCTGCTTTTTTATGAAAAATTTTAAAAATGTTCTAAGGAAACCACTGGAGAAGTTCCTTATAGTTCTTTTTCCTGTATTAGTTTTATTTTTATATAGTTATTAACATGATGCACGTCCAGTTTGTATCCTTTGTCATACAGCATCGCATCAAAAACATACTCCATGCTATTACAGCAGTCTTCCTGGTCTTCCTTTTAATTGCTAGCTCTATAGTTTATAGATTACATAAACTAGCTGCCCTAGTTTATGTAATCACTGTAGAATGTTTAAGCTGTTTCTAATGTTTTGTTATTATAAATAAGGCTGTGATGAACATCTTTTCATATAAAGCTTTTATGGAAACTAGAATAATTTCCTTAGGATAGATTCAGAGGGGGAATTACTTGGCAAAAAATGTATTAAGGCCCTGGATACATTTTGCCAAATTGCATCCTGAAAGAGGAACCCATTTATTTGGCTCAGCAAGTTTGCATGTTGGGGTTAGAGTCTGTGGCAGTCTCACCCAGGCCGTTGAGGGTCCCCACGCTGTCCGCCATCCGGCGGCTGACCGTGTGGTTGGCCAGTGAGTCAAACATGCTGCTCAGAGCGCTGGCGCCGGCCGCGGTGCCAATCAGGTACTCCAGGATCAGGTTCCAGCCGATGAAAAACGCCACAAACTCCCCTACGGTGACATAGCTGTAGGTGTAGGCCGACCCGGTGGTCTTGGGGACGCGGACTCCAAACTCTGCATAGCAGACACCTGCATGGGACACACACATGGATGATGGATTTCAGAAGATGAGCTAAACTTCTGGTGGTTAACCATCTTGGGTAGAGAATACTGGAAATCTCTGGGACCTTAGAACAAATAGGCGAGGTTTTATATAAATGAATCAATTCAAAGTTCTAATGTGTTCCAGCTTCACTTCTGGAAAACTTTTTAACCTGAATGAATGCCAGAACTAATTCTAAGGAACTATTAGAAGCTGATCCTTTTCATTAGGAAAACTCCCGGTTATTGTATGTGTCTCTGTCATTGTTCCTTAGGTGTCAGGATATCCCGAGTGAACATGGATCTAACTCGTTATGACCCCACAATTGATGGCAGCAGGGTTAGGTTATACTAGCCTTCTTCTCTTTCATTTTTACCTGTTACAAAAGGTGTTCCTCATTTGAGAGTGATGCCTCAAGCGACCCTCGGAAATCCTGTACTATACTGGCGGGCGGGTGGGTGATAACAATGCAAATATAAATAACTGACTAGTTATTAACCAGGAAATTTAGCGCATACAAAAGATAATTTAATGAACACTTTTAGAGTGCCTACTGTGTGCTTGGGAAGGTGCCAAGTGCTGGGACTAAAAAAAGACAAGTAAGGCAGGGCCCTGCCTTCAAGGGGAGCTACACCAGGAAATCAGCTCACGTCGTAGGCTGTATAAGCTCAATAATCCAGAGACGTACAGGAACAAGGGGAGCAGAGATACATGTGCCTCAGCTGTTCTTGAGGTATACGGAGGAATTAACTGCACTCAGAAGGTGGAACATGAGGCAAAGACATGGTGGGGAGAGACAGTACGAAGCTTTGGGTGGAGTGGGATGTGCCTGGGGGGACTGGGAGGGTCCGAGGCTGGAGAGGCAAGCAGAAGTCATGTGTTTTCCAAAGTGGGTCAGGGCCGCCTTCCACCAGAGTCATCTGTTGAATTGTAGTTTCGGGAGATGGAGACCAGGAATCTGCATTTTAACAAGCTCCCCACTTACATTTGAGAAACACTGGTATATTGCCTCATTTTTTTGTTTTATAGAATTAGAGATCAAATTAGAAAGAGACAGGGAATACACCAAACTTCTGGAAGTTGGGAGAATATTCTACACTGTACTAGGAATTCTGGATTTGGGGCCAATGGGTGGGGTACCAAGTGGAAGGACAGACATAAGACAGCTTGGAGGAAACACACCAGGAATGGGATATAGGAGGAGGTAGAAGGGAACTCAAAGTAAACTTTACTTTCAGTCCCAAATTTGTTAAGAGCCAACCTTGAGGTTCTCTCATCACAAATCAGGGAAAAGTTGTTCACTCTTTTGTGACTAAAGAGAACAAGTTTCTTCTCCTTTTTTTTTTTTTTTTTTGCTTTACCCGGGCCTCTCACTGCTGTGGCCTCTCCCGTTGCAGAGCACAGGCTCCGGACGCGCAGGCTCAGCAGCCATGGCTTACGGGCCCAGCCGCTGCGTGGCATGTGGGATCTTCCCGGACCGGGGCACAAACCCATGTCCCCTGCATCGGCAGGCGGACTCTCAACCACTGCGCCACCAGGGAAGCCCTCTTCTCCTTTTGAAGGGAGTAAAATCAATGCAAGGAAGCAAAAAGAGAGATATCAAAAACATGGACACAATGAATGATTAAATGTGATGCACTGTCTCTTTTCCTTCCACTCAGTGGCATCAGTGTCAGGGCGTCCATGTGGAAGGAGCACTAGACCAGCTGGGCTGCCCTCTTGTCTTGACTCTACCTTGGACCTGTGTACCCCTGTACGTTGTTTCCTTCCTTGTAAAGTAAAGGAATTAGGCTGGGATGCTGTCTTAAGTGTCTTTCTACTCTGACAATCTAAGATTCTATTGTTATATGGAATTTTGCTACAAAATATATTGAACATAATTTTCTTTTACATTAGTTACTGTATTGTCCTGTATTATGGAGATGCTCTCAAGGCTAGCAAAGCTGTTTGTCCCTACCTTGAATGGCCTAGGCTGCTACTTATTTTGAGTTTCTATGTCATCCCCCTTCCCTCCACTTTGTAAAATTGTTTTCATCCACTTCCTGGAGGTCAGACTGTCAGTTGTTTCTTCTTGTTGCTGTCACAAGGCTTACATGGAGCAGTCTGACCTCCTCCTATTCTAAATTGCTGCCTCCAACACCTGATGTTTAAATTGTTAGGGTGAGTCTAAAATTAAGAGGAAGTGGTGTCAGAAGGAAGGCCTGGGGAACTCTATAAGGAAAGTATAGAGTGTGTAAGTGCTGAGTGTGAGACCTGGTGATATTTTCTTGGATGCTTGGCGGACTTGTGTAACTTAAGTGTTCTTTTCTCCTGAAGGGAGTTGAGTTTGCACATAGAGTAGGTTTCTTTTTAAGTGCAGTGTAAGGAAGGGCTTAGGAGGTAACTAAGTTATTCTCTGTAGTGCAGGATCCACATCTTTACCCAATAATTCTTTTTCTTATGTTTATTTATTTTTTTCTTATTAGTCATCCATTTTATACACATCAGTGTATACATGTCAATCCCAATCTCCCATTCAGCACACCCCCCCACCCCCCCACCCCCGCCACATTCCCCCCTTGGTGTCCATACGTTTGTTCTCTACATCTCTGTCTCTATTTCTGCCCTGCAAACCGGTTCATCTGTACCATTTTCTAGGTTCCACATATATGCGTTAATATACGATATTTATTTTTCTCTTTCTCACTTACTTCACTCTGTATGACAGTCTCTAGGTCCATCCACATCTCTACAAATGACCCAATTTTGTTCCTTTTTATGGCTGAGTAATATTCCATTGTATATATGTAGCACATCTTCTTTATCCATTCGTCTGTCGATGGGCATTTAGGTTGCTTCCACGACCTGGCTATTGTAAATAGTGCTGCAATGAACATTGGGGTGCATATGTCTTTTTGAATTATGGTTTTCTCTGGGAATATGCCCAGTAGTGGGATTGCTGGGTCATATGGTAATTCTATTTTTAGTTCTTTAAGGAACCTCCATGCTGTTCTCCATAGTGGCTGTATCAATTTACATTCCCACCAACAGTGCAAGAGGGTTCCCTTTTCTCCACACCCTCTCCAGCATTTGTTGTTTGTAGATTTTCCGATGATGCCCATTCTAACTGGTGTGAGGTGATACCTCATTGTAGTTTTGATTTGCATTCCTCTAATAATTAGTGATGTTTAGCAGCTTTTCATGTGCCTCTTGGCCATCTGTATGTCTTCTTTGGAGACATGTCTGTTTAGGTCTTCTGCCCATTTTTGGATTGGGTTGTTTGCTTTTTTAATATTGAGCTGCATGAGCTGTTTATATATTTTGGAGATTAATTCTTTGTCCATTGATTCGTTTGCAAATATTTTCTCCCATTCTGAGGGTTGTCTTTTCGTCTTGTTTGCAGTTTCCTTTGCTTTGCAAAAGCTTTTAAATTTCATTAGGTCCCATTTGTTTATTTTTGTTTTTATTTCCATTACTCTAGGAGGTGGATCAAAAAATATCTTGCTGTGATTTATGTCAAAGGGTGTTCTTCCTATGTCTTCCTCTAATAGTTTTATAGTGCCCAGTCTTACATTTAGGTCTCTAATCCATTTTGAGTTTATTTTTGTGTATGGTGTTAGGGAGTGTTCTAATTTCATTCTTTTACATGTAGCCCTCCAGTTTTCCCAGCACAACTTATTGAAGAGACTGTCTTTTCTCCATTGTATATCCTTGCTTCCTTTGTCATAGATTAGTTGACCATAGGTGCATGGGTTTATCTCTGGGCTTTCTATCCTGTTCCATTGATCTATATTTCTGTTTTTGTGCCAGTACCATATTGTCTTGATTACTGTAGCTCTGTAGTATAGTCTGAAGTCAGGGAGTCTGATTCCTCCCGCTCCGTTTTTTTTCCCTCAAGACTGCTTTGGCTATTCGGGGTCTTTTGTGTCTCCATACAAATTTTAAGATTTTTTGTTCTAGTTCCATAAAAAATGCCATTGGTAATTTGATAGGGATTGCATTGACTCTGTAGATTGCTTTGGGTAGTATAGTCAGTTCACAATATTGATTCTTCCAATCCAAAAACATGGTATATCTCTCCATTTGTTGGTATCATCTTTAATTTCTTTCACCAGTGTCCTATAGTTTTCTGCATACAGGTCTTTTGTCTCCCTAGGTAGGTTTATTCCTAGGTATTTTATTTTGGTTTCAGTGGTAAATGGGAGTGTTTCCTTGATTTCTCTTTCTGAATTTTCATTGTTAGTGTATAGGAATGCAAGTGATTTCTGTGCATTAATTTTGTATCCTGAAACTTTACCATATTCATTGATTAGCTCTAGTAGTTTTCTGGTGACATCTTTAGGATTCTCTATGTATAGTATCATGTGATCTGCAAACAGTGACAGTTTTACTTCTTCTTTTCCAATTTGTATTCCTTTTATTTCTTTTTCTTCTCTGATTGCTGTGGCTAGGACTTCCAAAACTATGTTGAATAACGGTGGTGAGAGTGAACAGCCTTGTCTTGTTCCTGATCTTAGAGGAAATGCTTTCAGTTTTTCACCATTGAGAATGATGTTTGCTGTGGGTTTGTTGTATATGGCCTTTATTATGTTGAAGTAGGTTCCTTCTATGCCCACTTTCTGGACAGTGTTTATCATAAATCGGTGTTGAATTTTGTCAAAAGCTTTTTCTGCATCTATTGAGATGATCATATGGTTTTTATTCTTCAGTTTGTTAATATGGTGTATCACATTGTTTGATTTGCGTATATTGAAGAATCCTTGCATCTCTGGGATAAATCCCACTTGATCATGGTGTATGATCCTTTTAATGTGTTGTTGGATTCTGTTTGATAGTAGTTTGTTGAGGATTTTTGCATCTATATTCATCAGTGATATTGGTCTGTAATTTTCTTTTTTTGTAGTATCTTTGTCTTGTTTTGGTATCAGGGTGATGGTGGCCTCATAGAATGAGTTTGGGAGTGTTCCTTCCGCTGCAATTTTTTGGAAGAGTTTGAGAAGGATGGGTG